ATCATAGTTGTTCAGATAAGCACTGCTGTATTTCATTGGTCAAAACACATTCTTAGTAGCTTAATCAAGTAGCACAGCAAATTGTTAAATTGTTTAATTTCATCCTGTACTTTTCCTTAAGTAAAATTGATGGTATTATTGGGATTCACTAACCTGATAAATTCATTTTCATTCTGCCTTAATATAATGCTGTAACTCTAAATTACTGTTCATCTTCAAAAACCTAACATATATAGAGAAACATAATGTGCAAAAAATTGTCTATGACATCTGGAGACCAGCAGAATGAGTTGCCATTTAAAAGTCTTCTAGAACACCTTAATTTAATTGTAATTATAGGAATAACACAGAGATCACATTTTCCAACCCTGCATTTTTGGAACTGAGTGCACGAAATCAATTAATTTGTCTCTTTTTTTAAAATTTGCTAAGCTACCATATAAAAAAGTCAATTAAAGAGGGATATCTCACTTCACTCCCCTTCAGTACTTTCTGTGAATGAATCGTGCTCTGTCCTATTTCACATGATGTTCTGATGTTCTTCCATGATGCTTTGTTTCTAGATTTGAGTCGAGTGAAAGCCAACAGCTGCCGTTGTCGAAGACTGCTGAACTTGCTGAAACCCTGCAAACTGTAGATGAATGATGCCATAGACATAGATGTACATTAGATTAGTCTCTTTAGCCTATATAGTGTACTGTATACAGCATATTTTGATAAATCTGTCACATATTTCTGTTTTAGTGTGTTCTGTCTGGTATTTAATATTCAATCATTTCAACGATTCATTTAAAAAAAAAGTTATTTGACCTGTCAGACACCTTGGACAGGAGATCAGGCAATTGCCTGACTAGTATTTACTAATAATTCACAAATTAGATTCAGGTGATTCAATTTTACAAACTAATATTTCTTTATTCTTTCCCTAATAGCTAATCCTAAAACACATCTACTCAAGACAGTAGATATTGGGAAAATGTACTGTATGCTCCAAGCAGTAAAATTAAATTAATTAGTAATCAACAGTTTCCAAAAACGACTGCATAAAAAATACCAAAGCTCTTTTTTGTTCTATTGTTTGAAGTGCTTGTGCTGTCTTACAAAGTACTAAATAAACTTTGCTTGAGTACTTATCATCTGCTGCTGTAATATATCTGGAGTAAGAAAACAGGGCCAATATTAAGGGTATAACATTACAAATGATTTTTTCATTAATCAGATTTGAGGTATATTTTGCTACATGTCAGAAAAAAAAA